AATTTATAGTCGAAGAAAAAATCGTCCGAAGTGCTCTTTTCACATGCTTGAAAAAATCTTGAAAAAAGGGGGTTTATCAAGCAATGGTGAAACGGCAATTATACCATCAGATAGCGCAAGAAATTCTCTACAGGATGTGCTACTGAGAAGCAAGGCAGAATGAGTTTTTAATCAGCAGTGAATGTACAAAAAATAGGTGCACAAAACGCTGAGAACTTTCCGGACAACCTAATATTCCCCATTAGGCAAAGTTCCTCTGATTTCATATTCTCATATTCTTTTAACCCTTTTCATACATTATGACTTTTTGCGATGTCATGAAAGCATGACGGGACGCTCTCATTTGTCCTTTTGCATACCTGCCTATTCTGGTTAATTTCTCAAGGTGGAGGCTTCTCACTACAACACTTGTTTCGTAGAGACGCAGGTGAGACAGACCCTAACCGGATAGGCTTCCCTCCAGGATCCAGAAGGATGGTTGATACCCGTCTCTAAGAAAGTGAAGTTCCAGTGAATGACACCACCAACGCTGCTCACTTGTTACTTTGAAAACAGCGAAAGAACGGTTGTGGATGTGCTTAGCAGCCCTTCACGCCGACCTTCCTGTTATTAAAAAATAAAAAACCAATGATAAAGTCTGCACCATTGATCGGTCTCTTTTTGGGATGCGGCACGCATTCCACTCCAACCTATTTCAATTCAGAATCGTAGTGGCTTAATGAATGCGATGCGGGCCATACAATGACCTGCGGTGGGCTAGCCGATGTACAAGTCGTTGTTCCTACCAGACAAATCTGGTACCCATGTACCGCTTTCGAAGGATAGAAGGTCTTGGTTCGCCTGGGCGGTAGTTGACCAGGGATTCGAATGCAGGACCGCAAGAGTGGTAAGCACTTCACTTGTCAAAACAGTAGCTCCGCGTCTTGATATAAATCAATATAAAAAGATAATATTAAAAATAATCAGTTTAGTCCATCAACTGGAAGTACCTGATTCAGAAACGCCTGTGCGACGGCGTACTCCCGTCGGCTAGCGCTATTCATCGGTGAATAATCAGTCCGAATGCTGTTCACCTCTTCAAATCGTACAAAACCAACGCTGAACACTGTGCAGGTCACCATACACAACGTCATGGCAATTCCTGGATGTCGCCCAATCCACCGTCCCGATACGCTAAAGGCGGCTGCCAATTGGCGTTCGAAAAAGGACTTGAATAACATGGCTAGTAATGGAATACTGTAGATATCGCAGAAGAATGGCCGTCAGTACGGCTAGCGTTGCGGGTGTGGGTTGATGGGGTCGCTTCCCCGTCGGACGTGACACACAGGAATCAAGGTGCTCAGATGCAGTTGGCGAATGGCAAACGACCACTTTACAGTGCTCAAAATCTAAAAAAGAGATAATTTAGTAACAGTCAACGCATTTGACATCGTTCAACAAAAAGATAATCTAGTAGCGATGGCGGCTATAAAGTCAGCAAAAATTCCGATCATTGCTAGAGATCGAATAGCAGGAGCTAATAAGGGGGGGGGCAGGGAGCACTCTGTGAGCCCTCACAACCAAATACTGTAAAGTTCAT